GTGAGTACGTGTGTGGGTACGAGTGTGTGCGCGCATGCGAGTGCCGTGTGGCCCAGGGACCCCGGGCCCAGAAAGGACGATGAACTACCTGCGATGATGACAGCCTGAGGCCTGGGGTTGACCACTAACTGGCTCCTGACAGGGAAGAGCGCTGGCAGAGGCTGCACTCCCTCCTCAGGTGGGCCTCTGGCTGGCTATGGGGGACTCCGTTTACTACCACAGGGAGAGAGAGGGAGGTAAGCCACCCCCTGGGAGACCTTGCTGCTGCCCATCCTAGGCTGGGCTGGCCCGACCCTCACCCCCACCCCCCAGGATGCCCCGAGGTCCCAGGCAGCTGCTGCCTTCCCTTGCTGGTCACTCTGCTATCGATGCCTCCTGACCACACATTGAAGACGGGCTGGGGTTGAGTTCTGTCTGATTTTGTTGCGATTTTGGTTTGGGAGGCTGGAAGAGCACCCCAAGAGCTATTACGGAGACTGGAGTCAGGAGAGAGCAGAGGCCTTCATGTTCACCAGGGAACAAGACCACACCGGCCACTGGAGGAGAGCAGGAACAGTCCTCCCTCTGAGTGGCTGCAGAGTTAATGTTCCCAGTCCAGTCCCCTTCTGGGGGCATTGGGAGAGTTTAAGGCGCCTGCTGGTTCCAGGTCCTCGCTTTCCATCTGTTCTTATTGCAATGCCATCTTCAGACAGTTTTATTTATTGAAGTGTTTGTTCAGTAAGGGGCTGGAGAGAGGGAACTTGCTGCCTTCTGCCCTGCCTCATTAATGTTTACAGCACCTGAGCTTAGCCTAGCCTCCAGGGCCCCACCTCTTCCTGCTGATGGTGAGAAGACAGTGTCCACAGGCTGCAGGACCATTTGAGATTGGATGCTACACTCAAAGACATGCCCACCAGCCTCTTTCTCCCTGTTGCTTTTGCTCACTGCCCTGGAATCAACAGGCTGGTTGCTGGTAAGATTTTCTGAAACAGGAGGTAGAATTTTTCTTTGGCAGAGGCCCCTAAGTAAGGGAGGGGTGTTGGAGAGCCCATGCCCTTAGGACTGGAGAAAGCTGCAATTAACCAAGTTGCCTTTTGCCACTGTAGCTGACCAGGGGACTAGGTTGTAGAGGTGGGAAGGCCCCCTCTGGGCTGATCTAGTGCCATTCTTGACCTTGGACCTGGTTGGTTAAGGAGGGAGAGGGCCAGACCAGAGTGCCAGGAGCTAATGGAGCCAGGCCTGACTCCTAGGAGTGGTCCAAAGGCCTTCAGCCCAGATGGTGCAAAGCTGGGGCCAGCCTGTCTTCACCGGCACCCTCACCTCTGACACCAAGACCCACCCCAATCCCAGACTCCATGCAGTGTTCTCCCCGACGCCATCCTATGACCAAAGGCCCCTGCCAGGTGTGGGCCGCAGCAGCAGGTGTGTGTGAAAGCGATATAGCGCCCCGCGGACTGCAGTGCGCTTAACCAACTCACCTCCCTTCTCTTAGCCCAAGCCTGTCCTTCGCACAGCCTCGCACAAACCACATTGCCTGGTGGGGCCCAGTGTACTGAAATAAAGTCGTTCCGAGAGACACATCAGCTGGGCCTCTTATCTGTCTGTCACCAAGGCCAAGTGGGAAGAGAGAAGAGTGATAGGCACTCTGAATCTGAGGTGGTGACTGGGCCTGATCCATCCTCTAGAGGGCATTGTTGCACCAGCCAGCCTTGTTCAGGGAATAGCCCAAGTCCCAGCCTATCAGGTGGATGCCGCCCAAGTTCAAGAACAGAGGGTCCCACTCCTGTGTACATTCAAGCCCAAGGGTGAGACTCAACTCCAGACGACAGGAGCAGTTCTTGACATCCCTGAAATCAGAGATTCTCAAAACTGTCATGTGTATAAGAAGGCCAGGAGCTTGGATACATGCAGTGGCTCACACCTGTAATCCCAGCACTTTGGAAGGCTGAGGCAGGTGGATTATGAGGTCAGAGGTTCGAGACTGGCCTGACCAACATGGTAAAACCCCATACCTACTAAAAATACAAAAAAATTAGCCAGGCGTGGTGCAATGTGCCTGTAATCCCAGCTACTCATGAGGCTGAGGCAGGAAAATCGTTTGAACCTGGAAGGCAGGGGTTGTGGTGAGCCGAGATCAGGCCATTGCACTCCAGCCTGAGCGACGAGTGAGACTCCATCTCAAAACAAACAAACAAAAAAATCAGAAGGCTGGGAGCTTACTACAATGCAGTTTCCAGGGCCCACGCCCAGATATCCTGATTAATCACTTCTCCACTTAAAAACTTCACTTGGGAGGAAAATTGCCAGGTGCTTGACAAATGGTAACCTATTTTAATCTTCCCGATAGCCTTGCAAAGTATATGTGCTTTTATTGTCCATTTTACAGATAAGGATTTGGAGCCACAGAAAGATTAAACAATTTCCCAAAGCTCTGTGCCCCCCTCCTTTTTTTTTTTTTTTTGAGAAGTCTCGCTTTGTTGCCCAGGCTGGAATGCAGTGGTGCGATCTTGATTTCCGCTCACTGCAACCTCTGCTTCCCGGGTTCAAGCGATTCTCCTGCCTCAGCCTCCCAGGTAGCTGGGATTACAGGTGCCTGCCACTAGGCTCAGCTAATTTTTGTATTTTTAATAGAGACAGGGTTTCACCATGTTGGCCAGGCTGGTCTTGAACTTCTGACCTCAGGTCTTCTGCCCTCTTCAGCCTCCCAAAGTGCTGGGATTACACGTGTGAGCCACTGCACCCAGCACTGGCTTTTACTAATCTAGGATGTAAGCCCAGGCCATACAGCCTAAGCCTACATTTTTAATCACTATGCAGACTGTAAAAAAACATTGGCCTAGAGCAGTGGTTCCCAACTGGGACCAATTTTGCCTCCCAGGACACATCTGGCAATGCCTGGAGATATATTTGGTTGTTACAACTGGTGGGGGGGAGGGGTGCTAAACGTCTACAACAACTACCTGACCCCAAATATCTCTAGTGCCAAGTTTGAGAAATGGTTTCTGAGCGCCATGGTTTTCAGCCCCAGCTGCATGACAAAATCACCTACAGAGATGTTCAAAATCCCACTGCCCAGGCCATACCCCAGACCCATTAAGTCAGAATCCCAAGGAACAGAATTCAGATGTCGGTATTTTTTAAGCTCCAAAGGTAACCCTAAGGCTGAGAACTTTGGGCCTGAAAGAGGCTCCTCTCTGACTACCATGCCGAGCAGTGCTACGTGGGAAATGCACTGAGGCTGCTGGCTCCAGGCCCGACGGTCATTTTGGGCCCAGTGCCTAGGCAGTTACCAATCTTTTTCTCCCTGGTACCTAGGTAACTCACCATTCTTTGTGTGTGTGTGTGTGTGTGTGTGTGTTTGTGTGTGTGTGTGTGTGTGTGTGCAGTCTTGCTCTGTCACCCAGGTTGGAGTGGACGCAGTGGCACGATGTCAGCTCAATGCAACCTCCTCCGAGTTCAAGCGATTCTCCTGCCTCAGCCTCCTGAGTAGCTGGGATTACAAGCGCATGCCACCATGCCCAGTTACTTTTTGTATTTTTAGTAGAGATGGGGTTTTGCCATGTTGGCCAGGCTGGTCTCAAACTCTACCTCAGGTGAGCCACCACAGCCTCACAAAGTGAAAGGTGGCTCAAGCTGGGATTACACGCTTGAGCCACCGTGCCCAGCCTACCTACCACTCTTATTCTGAAAAAAATGCTCTCGGGGGCTTTTTCTAGTCAGTAAGGAATCCTGGTTCTCAATCCCAGCAATCCACCACTCAACTCAGGTAATATAGACATGAGGAAAAAAGAATGGCTGACTTTAATCAAGTATGTAAGGAAATAAACATCTTTAGAGGCGGTGTGGGGGTGGGGAGCCTTGCAACAGAGGAGCCATGCCACTTCAAGCACAGCTGAAGCAGAGAACCTTCTGAGAGAAACCACTAGAAGGGCGGACCAAGGGGGAGGTGGGACTTACAGTCAGCTTTCCCTGACTGGGAAAAAGGGAGCAGTTGCAGTATCAAAAGTGAGCCCACCACAGCGGCCAGCTCCGGCCAGGCAGCAGGGTCGCCTTCCATGCCCCATGGCAGACCCATGTGTACCACAGGGCAGTCCCATCCCTTCTTGGTCCTCTTCTTTCCTCCTGCCCCATTAAAGAATCACATCCCTGAGCACATACAGCCCAGCCCTTGCCCAAGCTGAGCCAGACAGCTAAGCAGGGACTTGGACCACAGTGATGCTCCTGGCTCAGTTCCAGGAGCTCCCTGCTGCCGTGTCTTCTAGGCTGCACTGGAGGAAAGTGGTGGAGCAGGATGCGGGTAAAACTGGCTCCTGGCCGGGCGCAGTGGCTCACACCTTTATTCCCAGCACTTTGGGAGACAGAGGCAGGCAGATCACTTGAGGTCAGGAGTTCGAGACCAGCCTGGCCAACGTGGTGAAACCCCATCTCTAATAAAAAATACAAAAATTAGGCCAGGCGCAGTGGCTCACACCTGTAATCCCAGCAGTTTGGGACTGGGCGGATCACTTCAGGTCAGGGGTTCAAGACTAGCCTGGCCAACGTGATGAAACCCAGTCTCTACTAAAAATACAAAAAACTGCCGGGCGCAGTGGCTCAAGTCTGTAATCCCAGCACTTTGGGAGGCCGAGGCAGGTGGATCACGAGGTCAAGAGATCGAGACCATCCTGCTCAACATGGTAAAACCCCGTCTTTACTAAAAATACAAAAAATCAGCTGGGCATGGTGGCGCATGCCTGTAATCCCAGCTACTCAGGAGGCTGAGGCAGGAGAATTGCCTGAACCCAGGAGGCGGAGGTGGTGGTGAGCCGAGATCGCACCATTGCACTCCAGCCTGGGTAACGAGAGCGAAACTCCGTCTCAAAAAAAAAAAACTAATTGGGTATGGTGGCACACCCTATAATCCCAGCTGCTCAGGAGGCTGAGGCAGGAGAATCACTTGAACCTGGGAGGCAGAGGTTGCAGTGAGCCCAGACTGCACCACTGTACTCCAGCCTGGGCAACAGATTGAGACTTCATCTCAAAACAAAACTAAACAAAACAATGAAATCCTTAAAAAAAAATGGCTTCTGCCCCAGGCTGCCAGCACCATCCTCAGTGGGGTGGCCTTGGCCTTGCCACACCTCTCACACCATCTTAACATCCTGGGTTTGGGCCTGTGACAGGTTCTGGCGCTGGGCCTTGACCATGTGCAGGCGTCTCCCGTGCAGCGTGAACTGGGACCAGGTGAAGAGCTGAAGCAGAGCACAGGTGATGGGCACCAGCACCAGCAGGTAGAAGCAGCCCTGGCGGAGCGCTGGGGCCTGTGCAGGGGCTGGAGCTGGGGGCTCTGGCCAGGGATGGGCACTCCCCACAGGGGTTATCAGGGACTGCTGGAAGAGGTCATGACCTAGGACAAAAGAGTACAGAAAGCCATGGTCAACCCACTGCCCTCCAAGCCTTGGTGTCCTCCAAGTCCATGGTGTGACATCTCAGACACCACATGGATGTGTCCAGATCACAACTCCTGATTCCCCCAAACCCGCTCCTCTCCTACTCTTCCTGTCTCAGTGACAGGCACCACCATCCACCCAATAACTCAGGCCCAAAACCTCAAAGTCCTCCTCAGTTCCCTGATTCAGTTCACGCCATCTCTCTCCAACACCCAATCCTTCATCTCCCCTCCAACTCCAAAACATATCCCATCTGCCACCACCCTGGTCCAAGTCTCCATGGCCTCTGCCACAGTCTCCCAAAGATCTCCCTGCTGTCCCCATTCTGGCCTCCCTATGATCTGCTGTCCATATGGCAGCCAGAGTGAATTTTATTTTTTTTTTTGAGGCGGAGTCTCACTCTATTGCCCACGCTGGAGTGCAGTGGCACAATCTCAGCTCACTGCAACTTCCACCTCCTGAGTTCAATTGATTCTCCTGCCTCAGCTTCCCAAGTATGCACCACCACACCCAGCTAATTTTTGCATTTTTTAGTAGAGATGGGGGTTCCACTGTATGTTGGCCAGGCTGGTCTTCAATACCTGACCTCAGGTGATCTGCCCGCCTCACCCTCCTAAAGTGCTGGAATTACAGGCATGAGCCACCTCACCCAGCCCAGAGAGAATTTTATTAAAAAGTCAATCAGGGCCAAGTGTGGTGGCTCATGCCTGTAATCCCAGCACTTTGGGAGGCTGAGATGGGTGGATCACCTGAGGTCAGGAGTTCAAGACCAGCCTGGCCATCATGGTGAAACCCCATCTTAAAAAAAAAAAAAAAAAAAAAAAAAAAAAAAAAAAAAAGTCAATCACACCATGTCACTCCCCTGTTTAAAACCCTCCCTAGCCAGGTATGGTGGCTCAATCCTGTAATCCCAGCACTTTGGGAGGCTCAGATGGGCAAATCAGCTGAGCTCAGGAGTTCGAGACCAGCCTGGGCAACCTGGTAAAACCCCGTCTCTACGTAAAATACAAAAAGTTAGCTGGTCATGGTGACGTGTGCTTGTGGTCCCAACTACTTGGGAAGCTGAGGTGTCAGGCTCACTTGAACCTGGGAGGTCAAGGCTGCAGTGAGCCAAGATCGTACCACTGCACTCCAACCTGGGTGACAGGGAGACACTACCTCAAAAACTAAATAAAAATAAAACCCTTCCAACAGTTTGCTTCTAGCACTGCCTTGATCAACAAAGCCCTTTTCACTTTTCCAGCTGCATCTCCTAATCGATCACCCCTGATACCCTGGGCCTTTGCACCTGCTGTTCCCTCTGCCTCTCCCTGAGACCTTTTCTAGACAAATCCTTGCCATTCAGCTCACATCTGAGGGTCACCTTCTCGGAGAGGCCTTCCCTGATGACATGACATAGCTTCTCATTCACGCCACCTTACATCACCCCAATTTCAGCATAACACTATCATTGCCTGAAAATGTCTTGTTTGGCTGTTTATTCCCAACCCCACCCCACCCCTGACTAGAATGCAAGCTCCACGGTGGTAAAAACCTTGTCTGTCTTATTCATGGTTAGCTCCCTGGCACCTAGACCAGGGCCTACAAAGAACGGATTCCGTACATATTTGTTGAATGAATGAATAAATGAATAAACTAAGAAAGCATGGAGGAATATGTTACCCAGTGACTTTAGCCATGTTGGGGGGCACTGGGTGCCACCCTCCCTCACTGCACCCAGAGCCCAGGTTTGCCAGTCAGTGTGCCAGGTCAGCTGTGCCCCCTGGAGCCTTAAGAGCCCTTTGCCTGCCCTCACCTGTATAGAAACAGAGCAGCCAGGTGCCCAGCAGTGGGGCAAAGGTCTGACCTGGCTTGGTCACCAGGGCAACCATGCCAAAGAGGAGTGCCGAGGCTGCCTGCTTGCGGTGGTTCAGCACCAGGTCCTCATCCACCAGGTCGGTGACCACCAAGGTCAGCAGCTTACAGGTGCCCTCAGTGAAGACGCGGTTGCTGCAGTGGAGGGAGAGAGAGGCGGGAATGAAGGTGTGGGACAGAGGTGTTGAGGGAAGGGTGGGCAGGGTTGTACCTGGCAATGAAGAGGCACAGCAGGCCAAGGTGGTCCGGGCCAGCCAACAACATGAGCAGGCTAAGGCCCAGCTTGAGCAGGAAGAGCCCCCGCACCACCGCGTAGACGCCCCAGCGCCGGCACAGGGACAGGAAGTAGAGGTTGTTGAGATGAGGAGCGACATAGGAGAGACCTGGGGAGGGAGACGGGGCCCGGCCTTGTCAAGGGCACTGCCACAGTGCCAATGAGCGCCATCAGCTTCACGGCTAACTGCATTCCTGTACACTAGCGATACACTGGGCTCTGTGCTAAGGGCTTCACGGTCTTAGTTCATCCTCACAGCCCCTTAAGGTGAGTACTAATATCATCCCCACTTTACAGATGAGAGAGGCCCAAAAAGATGAACTGACCCACCCAAGGCCACCCACCAGATAAGCAGAGTCAAGACTGACACCCAGGCCCAACAGATGACACTCCTTGCTGTTAACCAGCCACTGTACCACATCCCCTCGGGCAATACCATCTCCAAGAGGACCAACACCAATGAAGCCTCCCCACCTCACCCCCCAGCCCCCCTGCCCCCCCATGCCCACTGCACCCAGCAGCACTTGGTGTCTTTCATTTTTTTTTTTTTTTTTTTTTGAGATGGAGTCTTGCTCTGTTGCCAGGCAGGAGTGGTGCGATCTCGTCTCACTGCAACCTCCGCCTCCTGGAGTGATTCTCCTGCCTCAGCCTCCCGAGTAGCTGGGATTATAGGCTCTCACCACCACACCCAGCTAATTTTTGTATTTTTAGTAGAGACAGGGTTTCACCATGTTGGCCAGGATGGTCTCCATCTCCTGCCATGATCCACCCGCCTCGGCCTCCCAAAGTGCTGGGATTACAGGCTTGAGCCACTGCACCAGCCTGCACTTGGTGTCTTAAAAAGACTGTCCACCCCTTCCTGGGGGGAACAGCTGGGGGCTAGGAGGTGCAACTCCCACAACAGATTCCTCCCCACCCTCTGCACCAGGGTCCCAGCAGGTGAGGTGGCCGTGCCAACAGCTGGGCTAGGGTTTCTGGGGTGCAAGCCTCTGTCCTTCCAGCCTGCATGAAGCACCTGAAGCCCCCACTCACCCAACAGGATGGAGCCCGTGGAAAGGGAGATATGGTCGGACAACAGATGCTCCAGGAAGAGGGGGAAGAAGTTGCTGTTGAAGTGGCAGTGGAAGACCTGCAACCCAACAGGGACAGTGAGGAGGCTTCCGGGGCCGAGGGGGAGCTGACAAGGCCAGAAGTCAACAGGGGAGCACACATTCCCCCTACCCCCAGCCCCTATCATCAGAGCAGCAAGAGCGAGAGCAGGCCTTTTTCCCTATCTCCCTAACACAGAACATGCCAGAACACAATCTAAAACCACATTCCTGGTGCTATCTGACTTTGCTAAAAAGTTAGAAGGCATGACAAATTCGTATTGGAGCAATTAGAAGTTTTCTCTTTTTAGTTAAAAACACATTAGTGAAGCTGGGCATAGTGGATCGTGTATGTAATCCTAGCACCGAACACTTTGCGAGGCCAAGGCAGGCAGATCACTTAAGGCCAGGAGTTTGAGACCAGCCTGGCCAACGTGGTGAAACCTGTCTCCACTAAAAATAAAAAAAAATTAGCTGGGCATGGTGGTGTGTGCCTGTAATCCCAGCTACTCGGGAGGCTGAGGTGGGAGAATCACTTGAATGTGGGAGGCAGAGGTTGCAGTGAGCCAGAATCGCTGCCACTGCACTCCAGCCTGGGCAACCGAGTGAGACCTTGTCTCAAAAAAAAAAAAAAAAAAAAAAGAAAGAAAGAAAAAGAAAACACATTAGTGAAACAAATTTTATAACATGAGAACAGTTTATTTCTAAATTCAGCTAGTTTATATACTACATGTTTTAGGTACAGCACTTGGCTTTTCTTTTTTTTAGAGATAGAGTCTTGCTCTGCCACCCAGGCTGGAGGGCAGTGGTACAGTCATAGCTCACTGCAGCCTCGAACTCCTGGGCTCAAGCAATCTTCCCACCTTGGTGTCCCAAAGTGCTGGGATTACAAGTGTGAGCCACTGCACCTGACAGCCCTTGGTGTCTTAAAAAGATTGTTACGGAGTCCCCAGAGGGGCATCTCTGTCTCATATCCTCACTTTACGAGAGAGAACGGCGCTACCCAGAGAGCCTGAGTCCTGCCTAAGATCACACAGGGAGGGAATAGCTCAGAGAGGGCTAGAATCCAGGTCTCCTCCTGACTACCCAACCTGCGTTCCTGCCATTGACTCACCTGGCAGACCTCCTGGGTGGCCTGGAACTCAGTTCCCAGCTTTTTTTTTTTTTTTTTTTTGAGAAGGAGTCTGACTCTGTTGCCAGGCTGGAGTGCAGTGGTGCCATCTCAGCTCACTGCAACCTCCGCCTTAGGGATTCAAGTGATTCTCCTGCCTCAGCCTCCCAAGTAGCTGGGATGACAGCTGTGCATCACCATGCCTGGCTCATTTTTGTATATTTAGTAGAGACAGGGTTTCACTATGTTGACCAGGCTGGCCTTGAACTCCTGACCTTGTGATCCACCCACCTTGGCCTCCCAAAGTGCTGGGATTAAAGGCTTGAGCCAACATACTCAGCCAATTTTTGTATTTTTATGGGGTTTTGCCATGTTAGCCAGGTTGGTCTCAAACTCCTGACCTCAAGTGATCCACCTACCTCTGCCTCCCAAAGTACTGGGACTACAGGCATAAGCTACCATGCCTGGCAGAGTTCCCGGCTCTTGAGGAGTCTGTCCCCTTGAGTGAAGCATAGCCAGCTGAGGAGGGGCTGGGAGCTGCTCCCCATACCTGCACCAGGTCCATGCTCACGAACCACAGGAAGTTCCGATGGCGTGCCAGCTGCCGGAGATATTGGCCCAAGGTGATGCCGTCCACCTCCTCACTGCCCACCAGCAGCTCCTCTCCACACAGGCTGTGGGGCAGAAAGCAATGGAGAACTGCCTGGGGCTGGCCAGTTATCCCCCAACACAGCCCAGGGCAGCCCCCATCAGCCAGGGACCCAGCACCAAAATCAGACTTAGAAGGTTGCTGGTGAGGACCTGAAGAGCTGAGGCTGGCCACTCACCCGCTATCCACAGTCAGGCCTGAGCACCCTGGGTCCCTTCGGGCTGCCTCAACCCGCCACCTCAGCAGCTGTGTGGCCCCCAGAAAGCCCAGCCCAGAGCTGACAGCCAGTGTCACGCAGAAAGCACGGAAGGAGGAGAAATCCTCCTTGTTCCAAAAGGCATAGGAGGCAAAGACAGAGAGGGAGCCGGCCGCGCTGAAGAGGGAGCAGTAGAAGTTGAGGTGGGTGCGGTCGTGGGCTGAGAGGGCCAGGTCGGCCAGCAAGGCGTGGTGGTGCAGGTCCACGAGCGTCAGGAAGCCGTCATAGAGGCACAGGCACAGCAAGAACTGCAGGCCGGCTGGGGCCCAGGGCACCCAGAACGCCAGGAACGCCAGCGCCAGCAGCGGCCCGTGCCAGCCCAGGGCCCGCACCCGGGCCAGCACCACAGCCCTTGAGGAGAGCCTGGCGCCTGACCTGCCAGGGAAAGGAGGGCTGTTGAGACATGCTCTGTCCCATGGCAGGCCGCAGTGCCCCTTGCCCAGGCCCCAGGGTAGGGATGGAGGCCCAGGGTGTGGGACTCACAACAGGGTGGTCCCACTGTCACCCCAGCCCCCAGCCTACAATTTAGGAAACACAGCTCATCACTGGGTACACTCCCTCCTCTGCCCCAATTTCCACCCCCTAACTAGCCTGTCAGGCCGATGGCCAAAGTGTATGGGATGCCCACTTCTCAAGGTTAGGGGTGATGACAGACTCCAGCAGGGATGGGGCAAAGGAATCTTCCAGAAGCAGCAGAGGGTGTTTGCAATCTAGAGTCCAGAGGGGCCAGCCAAGCCAAGCCGGGGTAGGTCTCCTCCCCTGCCGAGCCAGGCAAGGGTGTATCCAAGGCCACCTCTCCAACCCAAATCTGGACCCCAGGAAGGGAAGGGGCATGGGCGACACTGAAACGGTCTCCCCTTCCTTCCCCACCCAAAACACAGGAGCAGTAGGGTGGGACTGAACCAATTACGAGCTATTCCCGGTACACCAACCGCGGCTGGGAGCTGAGGAACTGCCGGTCGCTGAGCCAGCCGAAGAGGGGGTCATTGAGGACTATTCCAGAGGAGAAACACCGTCTGCAGGCAGAGGGGAGACGGGCAGGTGGGTTCTAGGCAGCCTCCTCTCCAGGGCTCCCCCACCCCAGACTGCTCACCACTCCTCAAAGATGGCACCAGCTTTTCTACCTGCAAACCTTTGCTCATGTCAGTTCCTCTGCTAAAACCCACTCTGGCCAGGGATGGTGGCTCACACCTGTAATCCCAACACTTTGGGAGGCCAAGGTCGGTGGATCACCTGAGGTCAGGAATTCAAGACCAGCCTGGCCAACCTGGCAAAACTAAAATACAAAAATTAGCTGGGCCTGGTGGCACATGCCTGTAAGCCCAGCTACTCAGGAGGCTGAGGCAGGAGAATTGCTTGATCCAGGAAGGCAGAGGTTGCAGTGAGCTGAGATCGCACCACTGCAGTCCAGCCTGGGCAACAAGAACGAAACTCCATCTTAAAAAAAACCAAAAAAACCTATTCTGCCAGTCAAGCCACTGCCCCCCTCAAACTCCCACCCATCCAGAGTCCAACTGGTAAATGTGTGCAGCTGATATATTTATACATGTGAACATATTGTATATATGAGTATATAGAACCTCGACTATGTAAGACAGTGGCCAGGAAAGCTGATCTAGTCCCCACCAAGAAAGAGTCATTGAGACCTCCACAGTTTTTCAGGGTGTGGTGGCTCAGGCCTGTAATCTCAGCACTTTGGAAGGCAGAGGCGGGCAGATCACCTGAGGTCATGAGTTTGAGACCAGCCTGACCAACATGGAGAAACCCTGTCTCTACTAAAAATACCAATTTAGCCAGGCGTAATGGCACATGCCTGTAATCCCAGCTACTCAGGAGGCTGAGGCAGGAGAATCGCTTGAAGCCAGGAGATGGAGGTTGCGTTGAGCTGAGATCCTGCCACTGCACTCCAGCCTGGGCAACAAGAGCAAAACTCCATATCAAAAAAAAAAAAAAAGACCTCCACAGCTTTCCTTGCTGAGTCTTCTTGGTGAACAACCTGGACTGCCCATGCCCGACTGGGTGGGACCCGGTACCTGCAATCTGCCTAGCAGCCTGGGTACCCTCTAGTCTCCACCACACCCCCTCCCCCGTGTTGGCCACCAACTCTGGCCCTACCTCTCCAACCCAGAAGGCCGCTTTGTTGATCTTGTACACTGAGACGAAGGTGTCCACATAGTAGAGCAGGAAGACATTGTGCAGGATGGTGGTGAAGAGGGCCAGGGAGCCATAGACCACAGCTGTGGGCAGACCCAGCAGCCAGGCCTGGGGCCAACCTAGTCCCATAGCTGCAGCCCCAGCCTTAGCCCCAGGAGCACCGGGGAGGGCTCATGGCCACAAGCTGTCTTGCCATCCTCCTCCCTAGGGAAAAAGGAACCAGTGAGCAACAGGGATCAGAGCCAGCTCTGCTTTAACCTCAGACCTCTGAATCCTTTAATCATTTCCCAGAGTAGAGAGTTTGTACTTACAACAGCGCCGGGAATTAAGAAGAATGAAGTACAACAGAAACAGTGCTGAGCTTGATACCACTAATCAGGGAATGACTCGAGGAAACTGAGAGCCTGTGGGAAGAGAAGGCAGACACCCAGCAAGTGCTGAGCCAGGTCATGAGCTGGGGCTGGATGCTCAGTGTCTTCTTACATAGCACTATGTGACTTTAATGGTCTAGATGAGACAACCCTGGGCTTGGGCACACAGTGCACTTACAGTAAAATGTCAGGCAGCCACCTAACCCAGGCCTTAGCTTCCTCTTCTGTAAAATGTAAAAGGAGACCACTATGCCTATTTTGCAAAGGATCATAGGATTAAACCATGTGACTCACAGAAAGCATTCACTGTTGGTATTGATATGGAAGATGGGAAGGGAAGTGCCAGAAAGAGAAGGTTGTAGTCCCTTTAAATGATACAGAAAGGGGGAAGGGAAGTGCTGAGTAGAGGTGGGCAAGGTCTCTGGTTAGGGCTCCACCCCTGGGCCTCTGCCCATGGACCTAGGTGAGGACAGGCATTTTTGTTTTCCTGCCCAAATGTTGTATTTCCCAAGACCACCCCAGCCCACCAAGTCCCCATCCTGTGCTTATAAAAACCCCAGTGGGGTGGCACATGCCTGTCATCCCAACTACTGGGGAAGCTGAGGCAGGAGAATTGCTTGAACCCAGAGGGCAAAGGTGAGCTGAGATTGCGCTATAGCACTCCAGCCTGGGCAACAAGAGCAAAAAGAAGCTCTCTAAGCCTATGACTCCCCTACCACCACACCCACCACACCCATGGGCCACAGTAAACCTACTTTGCCCCAAGACAGGAGGATGGTCTTTCCCTGGAGCCCTTGAGGCCCCTGAAGAAAATGCATTTCTGTTTTTCCTCAAAGCTTTATTCAGGTCTAATTGACAAACACTAAACTTCATGTTTTCAAAGCATGCAGTCTGATAAGTTTCACCATATGCATGTACCTGTGAAATCATCACCAGGAACAAGATAATGAACACATCCAGCATCCTACATTCCCTCGGCTCTGCTTTTCTGAGTAACATGGAAAAAAGACACAACTGGGGCTGGGTGAGGAGGCTCACACCTGTAATCCCAGCACTTGGGGAGGCCAAGGTGGGCAGATCACTTGAAGCCAGGAATTTGAGACCAGCCTGGCCAATGTGGCAAAGCCCCATCTCTACTAAAAATATAAAAATTAGCCAGCGTGGTGGCACATGCCTGTAATCCCAGCTACTCAGGAGGCTGAGGCAAGAGAATTGCTTGAATCTGGGAGGCAGAGGTTACAGTGAGCCCAGATCACGCCACTGTACTCCAGCCCTGGCAACAGAGCGAGTCTCCATCTCAACCTGTGCTGGAGGCAAAACAACTTGTCCAGGTGAACAGCCACCCTGGAGATGAAGCTGACGGAGGAGTGTGCAGGGTTACTCTTTGGTTTCTCTTCCAGATTCCCCTCCTCCATCAAGAAACAGCCTTCCCCAACTTGCCCTCCCCACCCTCAATCCGCCTCAGCAGAGAACAGCAGCCCCACCTCTCCCAGGGAAGAACAGCTTGGAGCCTGCACCAGCCTCCTTGCATAAACTGGTGAGAAATCCTGTAACCTGCAACCAGCTCCACCCACCTCCTTGGCACCTTCCAAGACCTACCCTCATGGTCTCAGCTGGTGGCCTTGAGCCAGCCACTCCCTCTCCCTGATCCTCAGTCTCCTCCCCCACAAAGTGGGGATGTTAATGTCAACCTCTAAGGTGGCTGTGGGCTGAAATGCAAAAGGAAGGCCGGGTGCGGTGGCTCACGCCTGTAATCCCAGCACTTTGGGAAAAAATAAATACATACATAAAAAATAAATAAATACATAAATAAAAATAAAAATGAAATGCAAAAGGAATATAAAGTACCAAGTTCTACATAGAAGACCCTCAATATAGAGAAGCTATTTTTTTTTTTTTGAGACGGAGTTTCGCTCTTGTTACCCAGGCTGGAGTGCAATGGCGTGATCTCGGCTCGCCGCAACCTCCGCACCCTGGGTTCAGGCCATTCTCCTGCCTCAGCCTCCTGAGTAGCTGGGATTACAGGCACGCGCCACCATGCTCAGCTAATTTTTTGTATTTTTAGTAGAGACGGAGTTTCACCGTGTTGACCAGGATGGTCTCGATCTCCTGACCTCGTGATCCACCCGCCTCAGCCTCCCAAAGTGCTGGGATTACAGGCTTGAGCCACCGCACCCGGTGAGAAGCTATTTTTTTTTTAAGATGGAGTCTTGCTCTGTTGCCCATGCTGGAGTGCAGTGGCTCAATCTCAGCTCACTGCAACCTCTGCCTCCCTGGTTCAAGTGATTCTCCTTCCTCAGTCTCCTGAGTAACTGAAATTACAGGTGCCTGCTACCACATCTGGCTAATTTTGTTGTTTGTTTGTTTGTTTGTTGAAACAGTCTTGCTCTGTCACCCAGGCTGAAGTTCAGTGGCACAATCTCAACTCACTGCAACCTCCGCTTCCCGGGTTCAAGTGATTCTCCTGCCTCAGCCTCCAGAGTACCTGGGACTATAGGAACATGCCACCACGTCTGGCTAATTTTTTGTATTTTTAGTAGAGATGGGGTTTCACCGTGTTAGCCAGGATGATTTCAATCTCTTGACCTCATGATCTGTCTGCCTCGGCCTCTCAAAGTGCTGAGATTACAGGTGTGAGTCACCATGTCCAGTCGATTTTCATATTTTTAGTAGAGACAGAGTTTCACCATATTGGCCAGGCTGGTCTCGAATTCCTGACCTTAAGTGATCTGCCTGCCTCAGCCTCCAAACGTGGTGGGATTACAGGCGTGAGCCACCACACCCGGCCCACAGTAGCTATTTTCTTTCCATGTCTCTGAAGTTTGGTTTCATAATATTTGTTTGTTTGTTTTTATTTTTATCTTTAGATGGAGTCTCACTCTGTCACCCAGGCTACAGTGCAGTGGTAGGATCTTGGCTCACTGCAACCTCCACCTGCCAGGTTCAAGAAATTTTTCTCCCTCAGCTTCCTGAGTAGCTGAGATCATAGGCATGTGCCACCATACCTGGCTAATTTTTGTATTTTTTGTGGAGACGGGGTTTTGCCATGTTGGCCAGGCTGGCAACTCCTGATCTCAAGCGATCTGCCTGCCTTGGCCTCCTGAAGTGTTGGGATTACAGGTATGAGCCAGCATGCAGTTTCAGGATCTTTAAAGGTCAATCATTAGACAGGGTGCGGTGGCTTTGCCTATAATTTTAGCACTTTGGAAGGCCAAGGCAGAAGGATCACTTGAGGCCAGGAGTTGGAGACCAGCTGGGGCAACATCAATCAAAAGTAAAAATCATTGACCTCTCTGCCACATCCATGATTAAAATTGTCTTTCCAGCAACCAATCTTTATGCCTTTTGCCACCTGAAATACCCTGGTCCCTCTTGTCTGCCATCCCTCAAATTCCGTTTTTTCTTTTTTCTTTTTTTTTTTTTTGAGACAGAGTCTCATTCTATTGCCAGGGCTGGAGTGCAGTGGCACAATCTCGGCTCACTGCAACCTCTGCCTCCCAGGTTCAAGTGATTCTCCTGACTCAGCCTTCTGAGTAGCTGGGACTACAGGCACTTACCACTATGCCTAGCTAATTTTTTATATGTTTAGTAGAGACGTGGGTTTCACCATGTTGAGCAGACGTCTCGAACACCTGACCTTGTGATTCACCCACCTCAGTCTCCCAAAGTGCTGGGATTACAGGCGTGAGACACTGCACCCGGCCTCAAATTCCTTTTTTAAATGCCACCTCTACACTTTTGTTTATGCTGTTCCTGCCCACCTAAGATACCCTAGGATAACTATCTACTATTCCTCCCCTTTGGGCCTGTCATTTGTGCCAGATCAGCCCAGCCCAGCCCTCTCCTGGCTGCAAGCATCCCCGGCCTCTGACCAGCCTCTCACCACAACTGTAGCCACACAGGGTATGGTTAGCTTTTACATCCATATCATGACCCCTTACAGCTCTGTTACAATCTCAATTCACATTTTATACATGAAGAAACCAAGGCTCTGAAGATTAAATCACTGGCCCAAGTCACAGAGTTAGAAGGTGCTGGAGTGAAGATTCAAAACAGGTTTTGACTAAAACCACAGCATTCTCACTTCATCATGCCCCACATTCCTCCCCATCTTATCAAATCCTGCTTATCCAGTGTTATGGTTTTCCCAAGAACACCCAGTCAGATGTTCTCTCCTGTTTTCAGGCCCTGAGTCCTTATCAGCCATCCAAATGCCTCCCTGTCCCTCCTCCAGCCCACAGGCTTCTTAAAAGCAGGGCTGGGTTAGTCCCACCCTTGATCCCTGCCCTTTGCCTCCACCAGGCTCCCTCATCATGCAGTAGGTGCTCAGTCAATCCGTGTTGGGTTCATTTGCCCCGAAAAGGTCAATATGAGCATCCTCAGCCCTAGAGAACAGTAGCAGCAGTCACAGGAAAACTGTCATCCCCAGATCCCACTGTGCCCCCAGCTCTGTGTTCTGCTTGACTATGGGAAGCAGAGAGAAGGGGGAGACTAGGAGGCTTGATGTGCCTCTCTGAGCAAGACACAAAAGCAAGGCAACAGATACAAAGAAGAATAGTGATCATAACAGAGGAACATTTATTAAGCTTTCGCCGGGTGCACAGCACTGTGCCAAGAGACACAGAAACAATCTGGGAAGAGAGCTCAGAGCAGCACGGGAGAAAGGGGCCCATCAGGAAGGGTTTTGTAAACCTTGCACAAGATTCTATGCTGAGGACAACAAGTGGGGCACTGGGGGTGGTGAAGTGACAGAATCAGATCTGTTTGGAAGGAGCCCTCTGGCAGGTGTCAAAACTCTTCCCCTCCACCCTATGAGGCCCCTGGGAGATAAGACTAGAAAGGGATGGAAACAGCAGCATCTACCTGATTTCGGAACCAACCTATGGTGGGTTGGGGAGGCTGACGAATTTAGTGGAGGATACCAAGAACACCAGACTGGGCCCCTGGAGAGAGGGGCATCAGACTGTACAAGAGGCATTAGTGCAGAGGGAAAAGCTACGAATAGGCATAATTTGGAGTCTGGAGCCCTGTGTCAGGTGTGAATATTTTCCTTAACTTACTCTCTGAGTCTATTCCCGCATCTGTGAAGCAGAGAAAACAATTCCATTCTCTGCCTGTCCTCAGGAATACCAAATGAACAAATGAACATTAAAGGTATACTACCCAATGTGCCCTTTTCTTAACAGGTAGGTGACATCTGAATTGTCTGCTGTGCTTCCTGCATTACTCTCAGCGTTTTGCTCCCTGCCCAGTCTCCACATAGTAGGGTCTAGCCCCAGGGTTGGGGGATGGGGTGGGTCCATCCTCCTCTTCCGGCTGGAAATGAGCTTTTAACTTGCTGAGATGGAGACTTCTCCTTCCCCCTTCCCCTCAGGTCCCTAGAGCAGCGACAGCTTCACCTCAGGACCACCTGCCCCTCCCAAGCCACTGAGGAGTTTGGGATCAACCCAGGAGCTTTTCACTCAATAGCTGGTGCTGAAACACATGCTCCCTACCGCCTGCACGTTAAAATCACCTGCGGAGCTGTGCAAGAATACCGAGGCCCAGGCCTCACCTAGAACAGTTAAGTCAGAATCTCTCGGGGCGGGCCCAGCATCGGTGTTTTTTTTAAAGCTCCTCAAGTGCCACCAGGGTTAAATGCCTTTATGCTAATGGAATGGATCCCGGCTTGACCAGTGCATTCCTCGATCCCAGACCGCCGGGGAGCTATCTGATCCATTGCATCCCTTTCTTCACACCCCGGGAGAGCCCTTCTGCGAGGATTCCACCCTTGCCCGCTCGAACCCCGCTTCTTCCGCCCCGACCACAGAACTTCCCCAATCCAAAATATGATCACCCCAAAGACCCCCACAGACAAACCCTATGACTTTCAGAGCGCAAAGCATTCCCCTCCCCCTTGGGCCTGTCGTTTGTGCCAGATCGGCCCCAGCCCAGCCCTCTCCAGCCTGTGCGCCCCGGCCCCTAGCCAGCCTCTCACCGCAATCGTAGCAGGCGAATCCTAATCCCGCGGCTGGCGGGAGCCAGGTGTGAGCCGGTGCGCCTGCGCGTGCTTCTAGGGCTTCCCCAGCCTCTCCCTTCACCGCGGCCCAGCGATTGGCCCCGCGAGGCCCAGGGGACCGCAGCTCTGGCAGGTGACCGCGCCTGAGGCTGCCGCCGCCATGTTTGTCACGGGCGCTTGCCCTTAGCGACCCAAAGGAGAAAGTGGACACTGGCAAATAGGGCCAGGTTGCCTGGATTCCTGATCGGCTCAACCCCTCTCCTTTACCTCCACGATAGCTTAATGTCATTTCTGTTCAAACCAACACGTTTTTTCTTTTTAAGCGCTTACCTTCTTTCCTCTTCTAGCCTAGTACTCGTTGGGAGAGCAGAAGTCAGCACACTCCATCCAGCCTTGTCGTCTGAGCGGATGCACTGCTGCAGCCGACTTGGAGGTGGCAGAAGCACGACCTGGGACTCCATGATGCTGTATCATGAGCCCTTCAAGGGTGGACAGGCCCAGCTTGAGCTATAGGCAGCAGGGCTCTGGCCACAGTAACCAGGGCCTGAATGAGCAACTATACAGCCCAACCTCCTTGTATTAACAACGGTAATAATAAAACACAAGGAGTACTGAGCACTTGCTATGTGCCCTGTACTGCATTCAGAACAACAGTGCATTCTCTTGTTGAGTCCACACATCATTCCTAGGAGGTAGGCGCTTCTAACCCCATTTTATACATAAGAAAACTGCAGTTCAGAGAGATTCAGTAACACACTTGCCCTTCAGCGGCAAGGGCCCAGTCGGGTGGAACCTGGCTATCCTGACTCCTACAAGTCTTTCCTCTTCCCATTCCTGCACAATCCCTCAAAATCAAGTTTTGTTTTGCTCAATGTAGGCTGTGAAGGATGTTTTATGATTTCTCCCAACTGGGCTGTAAGCCTGGATAGGTTTTTGGGCAACCAGACAGCACACATTCCAGTTCTGCCTGATTCCCCTACCTTGGGACACAGGACAAAGAGCCTGTGGCTTTTGGCTTCTGTAGGACCTGGAACTCAACTCCTAGCTCCACCACTTTCTTGCTACGGGACTCCTTTATTATTATTTGAAACAGGGTCTTGTTCTGTTGTTCAGGTCAGAGTGCCGTGGTGTGGCATGATCTCAGCTCACTGCAACCTCCACCTCCCTGGCTCAGATGATTCTCTCACCTCAGCCTCCCAAGTTGCTGGGATCACCGGTTCATGCCACCATGCCTGGTTAATTTTTAAAATTGTTTGTAGAGATGGAGTCTATGTTATCCAGACTGGTCTTGAACCAGGGCTCAAGGGACACTCCTCTGTTTCAGCCTCACAAAGTGCTGGAATTGTAAGTGTGAGCCACTGCTCTTAGCTGGGACCCTCCTTTTGTGAGCCTGTTTTATGCTTTACAGGGATTTTGCAGGCATTAAATGAGAAACAAGGGTATAGGAGCTTTGTGAACTGCTCACCTTTATGACCTTGATGATTGTGAGCTAACTCCCTGCAGCAGGAATATTGTCCTTCTCCTAACAACTACAGCAAATGGTCCAATGTAAAGGGCTGATGTCCTGGGGCTAGAGCCTATTCAACCAGTTCTTGGGGAGTCCCTAGGAATGCCATGAATCTTGCCCCAATAATCCATCTCCCACTCACCTGTCCCTCCTTCCCAATCTCTCTCCTTCAGACACTCTTCACACTTCCCATGTCACCCAAGCCACCCCCCACCCCACCCCACACCCATCTCTTCTAGATTTAGACAATTGCTGAAATCTCTCCTGATCCAGAAAGCCTCATGACTAGAAGACAAGTGGTCATTTCTCCCCTCTCCTCACCTCTTACCTCCATCTGTGCTTACCTGGCTGTGAGAACAGAAAACTCAGCATTTAGCCTGGAGTCTGGCAGGCACACTGGGACCCCCACACATTTGCTAAAAGAGTCTCCCTGCCTTTCTATCTCTGGCCAGCATGTGCCTGCCTTTCTTTCTTTCTTTCCTTCCTTTCTTCTTTCTTTTCTTTCTTTCCTTCCCTTCCCTCCCTCCCTCCCTCCCTTCCTTCCTTGTTTTTTATTTTTTTTGAGATGGAGTCTCACTCTGTCACCCAGGTTGGAGTGCAGTGGTGCAATCTCAGCTCACTGCAACCGCTGCCTCCTGGGTTCAAGCGATTCTCCTGCCTCAGCTTCCCGAGCAGCTGGGATTACAGGCACATGCCACTACACCCGGCTAATTTTTGTATTTTCAGTAGAGACGTGGCCAGGCCGGTCTCAAACTTCTGACCTTGTGATCCACCTGCCTCGGCCTCCTAAAGTGTGGGATTACAGGCATGAGCCACCACACCCGGCCGCATGTGCCTTTATTTCAAAGCAAACTCCAAGTCTTTACTTAGCCCTCACTGGATGTTCAGTAGGGAAATGGAAATAGGGAAAGCTGACAGGGGCCAGAGCTGGATGTGACCCAGTAGAAAAGACCTTTGGTCCCTCACATTGCACTTAATGCCCCACAGTTACACTCTGAGGTCCCTCAACCCTCTGATTATAGAGACAATGTAGCCAGTTACCTTTTATATCAGCACCAGGACGGGGCCATATCACCTGCCTGACTCCTTGAACCATACTGGAGTCCCTGGACCACGGGACAGATAGATTATGCACACTCTGTCTTTTAAATTCTCTCCTCCCTTACTTCTCACCTCTCTGATCTAGGTTCCTCCATTTCTGATCTACTAATTTCTCCTCAGTCCCCTTCACTTTGGCACTTTCTCCCAGAGCCTCTAAAGGTAAAGAGAAGGTGCCCCACATTTCCATCTTTAATACTCATATATTCAGCCGGGCGCGGTGGCTCAAGCCTGTAATCCCAGCACTTTGGGAGGCCGAGGCGGGTGGATCACGAGGTCGAGAGATCGAGACCATCCTGGTCAACATGGTGAAACCCCGTCTCTACTAAAAGTGCAAAAAATTAGCTGGGCATGGTTGCACGTGCCTGTAATCCCAGCTACTCAGGAGGCTGAGACAGGAGAATTGCCTGAGCCCAGGAGGCGGAGGTTGCGGTGAGCCGAGATCGCGCCATTGCACTCCAGCCTGGGTAACAAGGGCGAAACTCCGTCTCAAAAAAAAAAAAAAAAAAAAAAAAAACAACTCATATATTCACTCGAACTTTTAGTCCATTCCAGGCCACAGGCTATAAAGTAAAGGGGATTTCAACAACAAGATTGGTGTCCACAAGAGGCGTGAGTGGGGTCCCAAAAAGCCAGCAGCCACAATGTCAATAGTGTGATAGGAACCAGGTAGAGACAAGCTCAGGTTGTCTCTATCAGCCATTACAGTAATTTCACCTTCTACCTTTTCCTTCACGACTACTTCCACACCTCCCATGTCCAGCCTGAACAGAATGTCCAGAATGGCCCACCTGAACTCAGCATTCCTTCAACTTCCAATTTCCCTCCAGTGTTTTCTACCTCCAGGACTGCCTTAACTGCCCATCCAGGTGGCCAAGCCAGAAACATGTGCATCCAGCATCCACCTTCCATCCTATCCGCTTCACTTCATCAAAACCACCATCTTGGATCAAGTCCAGGTGAATCCCACTCCCATTTCTCTTTTCCATCCCTTGCTCCTGTCTGGTTGTCAGCTTTCCTGAACTAACACGAGAACCTCCTCCATGACTGGCTTGCACCCCCTTGCTCTCTAATCTGTCCTCCATTTTGCCCGCAAGTGAGCTTCTGATCACAAGGTTCCCTAAGCAACAGCTTCTCAAGTTGCTATATATTGAAATTTTTCATGGCCAATGCAGTAGCTCACACCTGTAATCCCAGCACTTTAGGAGGCTGAGGCAGGAGGACCGCTTGAGCCCAGGAGTTGGAGACCAGCCTGAGCAACATAATCAGACCCCATCACTACAAAACATTTTTAAAAATAAAAGAATTGGCTGGGTGTGGTGGCTCATATCTGTAATCCCAACACTTTGAGAGGCCAAGGCAGGTGGATCACCTGAGGTCAGGAGTTTGAGGTCAGCCTGGCCAACATAGCGAAACCCTTTCTCTACTAAAAATACAAAAAAAAAAAAAAAACACACACACACACACACACACACAAACAAAAAACTAGCTGGATGTGGTGGCAGGCGCCTGTAATCCCAGCTACTCTGGAGGCTGAGGCAGGAGAATCACTTGAACCCAGGAGGCGGAGGTTGTAGTGAGCCAAGATTGCACTATTGCACTCTAGCCTGGGCAACAGAGCGAGACTCCATCTCAAAAAAAAAATAAATAGAAGGCCAAGGCGGGCAGATCACAAGGTCACGAGATCAAGATCATCCTGGCCAACATGTTGAAACTGTGTCTCTACTAAAAATACAAAAAAAAAATTGCTGGACGTGGTGGCACATGTCTGTACTACCAGCTACTCAGGAGGCTGAGGCAGGAGAATTGCTTGAACCCAGGAAGTGGAGATTGCAGTAAGCCAAGATAGCGCCACTGTACTACAGCCTGGGTGACAGTGCAAGACTCCGTCTCAAAAAAATTAATTAATTAAATTAAAAATCTGTGGGGAGGCCGGGCGCGGTGGCTCAAGCCTGTAATCCCAGCACTTTGGGAGGCCGAGGCGGGTGGATCACAAGGTCAAGAGATCGAGACCATCCTGGTCAACACGGTGAAACCCCGTCTCTACTAAAAATACAAAAAATTAGCTGGGCATGGTAGGCGCGTGCCTGTAATCCCAGCTACTCAGGAGGCTGAGGCAGGAGAATTGCCTGAACCCAGGAGGCGGAGGTTGCAGTGAGCCGAGATCGCGCCATTGCACTCCAGCCTGGGTAACAAGAGCGAAACTCCGTCTCAAAAAAAAAAAAAAAAAAAAAAAAAAAAATCTGTGGGGAGGCCGATGCGGGTGGATCATGAGGTCAAGAGATCGAGACCATCCTGGTCAACATGGTGAAACCCCATCTCTACTAAAGATACAAAAATTAGCTGGGCAGCTTTCCTAAACTAACACGAGAACCTCCTCCATGACTCTAATCTGTCCTCCATTTTGCCCTCAAGTGAGCTTCTGATCATGGGCATGGTGGTGCGTGCCAGTAGTCCCAGCTACCCGGGAGGCTGAGGCA